GTCAGAACCGACTCCACGGTACTCGACAACAACAACAATCCTAAATGGAACTTCCTGTTTCCCCAAACCCTTGCCAAGTGGAAATGATCTGTTTTTTAACGGTTGCCAAATTTAAAGGTTAAAAAAAATCTGTGGTTACCAGTGAGGTTAATTATATATTTATCACTTGGAATTCCTACACATATCCTTTTTCTATTTTTCTGAGATGTTTTTGTACAAATATTAATGATCTGACATGCAAGATGCAGTTATTTCCTTGGTTTGCCATTTGCCTCTTAATTTTGTTTTTGGTAGTTTTTATGCATCAAAGTTTTATATTTTTATGCAATTATATGGGGCTATTCTTGCTGTGGGTTAATGCGCCAGACTGCAAAGCCTTTTGAACTGCAAGGTTGTTGGTTTAAGCTCACCAGCTGCCCCTCGGAAACCCTATACAGGATCACTATTGGTTGGAACCAACTCGACGACATTTAACAACAACAACATTCCTTTTATGGACTTCTGATGTGGCACTGTAGGATCAACACTGGGCTGCGAACCACAAGGTCAGCAGTTCCAACCCACTGCTCCTTGGAGACCCTACACAGGGTTGTTATGGGTTGGAACTGACTCAGTAGCACTTAACAACACCAGCAAACAGCAGTCCCTTTATAGGGAGTGTAGTGGGTTATGCATTGGGCTGCTAACTGCAAAGTCAGCAGTTCGAGTCCACAGGCTTTCTGCTCCTGTGAAGACTTACAGCCTTGGAAACCCTATCCAGGACAGCCATGTGTTGGAGTCGACTCCACAGCACACCAACACCTGTTTTGAAATTTTGTCTTTGGTTCTTAAAAAGAAGAATCCCTGGGTTGTGGCACAAATGGAATCCTGGTGTGGCACTGTGGGATAAAGCACTGGACTGCAAGATTGGTTTGAACCACAAGGTCAGCAGTTCAAACTCACCAGCCACTCCTTGGTAAGTCTATACAGGGTTACTATGAGTTGGAAGTGATTCGATGGCACTTAGAAACAAAACGACAACAAAACAACTAACTGAAAAGTTGTTGGTTGAAATCTACCCAGGAGCACCTTGGAAGACAAGTTGGGCAATCTGTTTCCAAAGGCTCACAGGTTTGACAACTCTTTAGAGCAGCTCTACTCTGCATGCACAGAGTCCACTCACCACCAGCAGCAATGACAATCTTAACAAAGACATTCCTTGCCTCAAGGTAGGGAACTGTGGTGCTGTAGGATGAGCATTGGATTGAGAACCACAAGGTCGACAGTTCAAACCTACCAAGATATTCAAGCCATTCCTCATTTTCCCATATATGTGTAATGGCATTGCCCTCTAACACCTCTGTAGGGAGTGGAATAAAGTTTCAAGTCACCTTCAAGGTATTTGGAAGCATGCAAATATAAGTTTGGATTTAAGAGAACTTTATAAACAGTTTATGGCTGTACAAAACAGTAGAAATAAGGTCCTGGCCCCTGAGGATGTGGCCAAGACCGTGTTGGATCTACTCAATGGATTTAATCCTTTTAACATACTGTGCCACATGGCGTGGCTCCTTATTGGTATTACTGTCGTGATGTTAATCTTGTTGCTTATTTTTACAGTCTTCTGTAAAAAGTCCTCCACAGCCACCAGCTCTTCCAGCTCAAATTGACCACTTATTGCCTTCATTTAAAAAATAATAAGAGGGGCAACTGGGCTAAAGGTATCCGACTTGGGGGTAGTTTAACCAAAAGATTGCAACTGAACAGTTGTGGTCTAGAAATCCCTATACAGGATCACTATGAGTTGGAACCAACTCAGTGGCACTTAACAAAAACAACAGCTCTCTTATTGAGAGCATGGTGGCTCCGTATGATAAGCACTGGACCACAAACCACAAGGACTGTGATTTGAGTTCACCAGCCATTGCTAGGGAGAAAGATGAAGCTTTCTGCAGCTTGAAGATTTGCATGTTTGGAAACCCTATGCAGGATGAGAAGTGACTCGACAGCATTTACCAACCACTGTTTCATGGATTTTATCTTTAAAACTTTAATCTATCTGGAATTTATTTGGTTGGATGTCATGGGGAAAGAATCACCTTTATTTTCTTTGCCAAGTATTGCCAGTTGTCCCTAAACTATAACTACATCTGCTTGAATCTGTTCTCATATACATAAGTATGATTTTGTCAGGTTACTGCTTTTCCTCTATTGTTGTTGTTGTTAGGTGTTGTCAACTCGGTTGCAACTCATAGCAGCCCTATGTACAACAGAACAAAACACTGCCCAGTCCTGTGCCATCCTCACAATTTCTGTTACGTTTGTGTCCACTGCTGCTGCCATTGGGTCAATCCATCTCCTTCAGGGGTCTTTCTCTTTTTCACTGACCCTCCACTTTACCAACCATGATGTCCTTCTCCAGAAATTGGTCACTCCTAATAATACATCTGAAGTCTGAGAGACAAAGTCTCACCACCCTGGCTTCTAAGGAACATTCTGGCTGTACTTCTTCCAACACAGATTTGTTTGTTCTCCTGGCAATTAAGTCTTCATAGTACTTTAAATATTCTTCTCCAATGTTGTTGTTAAGTTCTGTGGAGTCAGTTCTGACTCATGGTGATACCTGTATAGGCTTTCCAAGGAGTGACTGATGTGTTTGAACTGCTGACCTTGCAGCTAGCCATCCAGTGTCACACCAGGATTCAAATGCATCGATTCTTCTCTGGTCTTCCTTATTCATTGTATAACTTTCCCATGGAGTCCTGGCGTGACATTGCAGGATAATATACAGGATCGCAAGGTCAGTTTGAACTGCAGGGTTGGCAGTTCAAACCCACTAACTGCTCCTCGGAAACCCTTTACAGGGTCTCTATGAGTTGGAACCGACTCTATGGCACTTAACAACAGCAACAAAAACTTTTCCTTGCATATGAGGCTTTTGAAAATAGCAGGCGTGGGTCAAGCTCACTGTGGTCCTCTGATCTCTTTGCACTTGAACACTTTAAAGAGGTCTTGTGCAGCAGATTTGCCTAATGTAATATGCCCTTTGATTTCTTGACTGCTGCTTCCCTAAGATTGTTAATTTTACTTTTATGTTGTTTTAAGGCAATACAGGACATGGAAAAAGAATGGGCCAAACCCACACAGGCTCAGAGGAAGAAATTAGAGGCTCTTCAGAAAGAAGACAATCAGACAAAGGTGAATCAAATATTGTACCAAGGGACAGTCCTTGGAAGGGAGTTAAGAAACATATTAGAATTGAGATATTTCTGTATCTTAATTTATAAACCCATCAAGCACTAAAAGTGGGGCTCTTTTTAAAAATGAGAATACCTTTAATGGTTTTTCTGATTATAAAATTAATAAAGGTTCCTTGCTTAAAGTGTCTAAAAATACAGACAGAATAAGTTTTATTATTTATTTATTTATTTGGCCAGGCTAACTAATATAGATCCTCAACAATATTTTTAATGACTACTGAGTATTTCATGTTATAGCTATGTTATTGTTTAGCTAACCGATTTCTTGTTATTGGACATTCAGTGTTTCCGTCTTTTGCTGCTATAAATCACTTAGGCAGTGAGGGCCATGAGACCCAGAACTAGTTCTAATTTATACATGCTCTGGGGATTGCCTGCCTGGTAAAGTGGAGGGTCAGCAAAAAAGAGGAAGACCTCCAACGAGATAGATTGGCACAGTGGCAGCAGCGATGGGCTGAAGTGAAGCAATGGTTGTGAGGTTGGTCCAGGACAAGGCAGTGTTTCATTCTGTTGTCCATAAGGTCTCTATGAGTCGGTAATGATTCGAAGGCATCTAACAACAACAACTGGGTATTCCCAACTCCTGAGAGTTCCTAGATGAAAATTCCTGAATACTGCAGCCAATATCCTCAGTCTCTTATTATGTGTTCTATTATTCCTTGGGACACATTTAAAAATGTTTGTTTTTAACAGTTCAATTAAGTTGCACAGACTCACACATCTCCTATACCCTCCCTGCCAGCAGTGTAATGAGTGTCTGACAAACAAGACACAGTTTAACAAGAGAAATGGCCTCTGCTTAATGTTTTTTTTTTTTTTATTCTTTAGACTTTGCAGCATTCACAACCAAGCATTGATTTTAGACAAAATACATTCAAAATATATGTTGTTGTTGTGAAGTGCCTTCAAATTGGTTCTGACTCATAGTGACTCTATATAGGGTTTCCAAGGAGCCGTTGGTGAATTTGAACTGCCAATCTTGTGGTTTAAACCGACCTTGTGGTCCAGTGCATTATCTCACAAAGCCGCACCAGGACTCCCAAAACTTATACTGGATATAAAAAGTAATTCATCTAAGACATTTTGAAAATTAGGTTGTCGGGCTGAGAGTAAGCACAGAATGCTACATTGTAGAGGTGTTTTTTGTTTTGTTTTTGGTATTCCGCCTGCACTTTGACCTCAAAACACACACTTACTCAGTATATATATAGGCAGTCCTCACATTACAAATATGACTTGTATACAATCTGCAATTATAAACCAAACCAAATAATGTCCATTATATCAAAATTTGAGATACATACAATGGTTTGTAATAACAAACAGATATTAATTTGCAACACAAATCAAAGCATTATTATTATTATTACCATATTATTATGTTAAGGATGTTGTAGGGTCCTTTAATGTTTTTTGTGCTTACATAGGTACACTATGTACTGTATACTGACACAGATATTTGACTACCTGATATTGGATATAAACCATATGCAATTGTTTTGACTTAACTCTGTCAACTTAAGTACAAATTCAACATAAAGGCAGACTTAGGAACAGGACTCAGTCATAATCTGGGGACTGCCTATATAAGAAATAGTCTTACATTTTGACACCTACAGAGTCTATTTTGAAGGGTATAATATTGCTGCTCCTTTGGACACAATTATAAATTGTATACTGCAACCAATTCTATTTCTGCCTTATAAACTACTTAGCTTAATAAGAATGTTTGTGTTTGTTGCATTTCCAGAATTTTTTTACCTGAATTTACCAGATTATTCATAGTAAGGTTTTCTTTTGTATTTAATTTTGATTGTGAATTGGGTGAAGGTTTACAGAGAAAATCAGTTTCCATTCAACAATTCCAACAATATGTTTTGTTTCATGTCACTGATTGAAGTCCCCACACTCTAACGTCACTCGTTCCACTTCCTCCCTTTGTTTCCTGCTTCCATTCCTCCTTCATCCCCCATGCTTCCTACATTGTGAAGTGTGTTCATGCGCTGATGCTGCCCTTTTCATCTGGAATGCATGATGGGTCTAAGAAGTGCGTACCTCTCTATGTTATCGTTTTTCTTGTAGACCTGTCTTTTGCTGGGCTGCATGGGAGTTCAGTCCAGGTCTGAAGGGTGACTAAAGGGCCGCAGTTCTTAGGGGTTCCACCAGTCTCTAGCCAACCAATAAGCCTGTTTTGTGTGTTTTTTAAATGATTTTGAGTTTTGTTCTACATTTTTCTCCCACTCTGTCCAGAACCTACTAAGGTAATCCTTTTCAGAGCAATTAGAAGTGGTGGCCTTCTGGTCTCAGCATCATGAAGGCTGAGGTTCACATGGCTCATTAGACTTTTGGACTAATTGTTTCCATGTGTTTTTTATTTCCTTCACTCTTCTTTGCTCTGAATAGGAAGAGACTAACAGCTGCCCTTTAGGTCACCACTCACACCTTTTAAGATCCCAGTGACTACTCATCAAAGTGGGATATGGAACACTGTCTCTGTGGACTATGTTGTGTCGGTTGATCTTGATGTCCCCTGCTCTGTGGTCCTGAGCTCCCAGGCCCAACGAGTCATTCCCTCAAGATGTTTGCTTATAGCTAAGAAGTTTCCATAACTTTGCCCCTGTGTTGTTGCTGTTGTTAAGTGCTGTCGAGTCGCTTCTGACCCATAGCTACCCTGCATATGGTTTCCAAGGAGTGGCTCGTGAGTTTGAACTGTCAGCCTTGCAGTTCAAACAGACCTTGAAGTCGAGTGCTTGTCCTACATTGCCACACCAGGATCCCACCTGTATGCTTTACTATATTCATGGATATATTTTCAGCATATATAAATACATATGTAGAAATATCCTCTATCAAATCTATCTCTCTCTCAGCATATCTATCTATATATGCAGAGAGAGAGATTTAACAGAGGATATGTGTATATTTATTTACTTTCCTTCCCACACTTGCACAGCATGTGTGTCTATCTGTGTATCCATTGTGTTGTTGATATGTGCTGTGGAGTCGGTTCCAACTCATAGTGACCCTGTACAGTTTCCCAAGGCTGTAAATCTTTTTGGAAGCAAAAAGCCTCATCTTTTTCCCACGGAACAGCTGGTAGTTTCGAACTGTTGACCTTGCGGTTCACAGCCCGATTTGTAACCACTATGCTACCAGAGCTCCTGTTATTACAGGAGTGTATATCACAATAGTGATCTTTTGAAAACTTTTACTTTGAGTACATGATTGAGATAAAAAACTGTGAGCCAATATTGAAATGAACTTGACTGCTTTTCTCTTGAAACATCTAATTATACTGATTTAAAATCAACATTATTTGTTTGTGAAATTCTTTTCCTGCTGATGGAAATAACATCTCAACAAATATTGATTTATTTTTTGTACAAATACAAAGAAACCTGGAATTAGATAAATGAGTGAATTTAATTTAAAGAAACACTCATTTGATCTAAATCAGAGTGTGTGTACCTATGACTCACAGGCTAAATCTAACTTGCTGCCCTCTTTATAAATAAAGTTTTATTGACACACAGCCACATTAATTTGTTTCTGTATCATCTAAAGGCATTTTTGAACTCCTGGTGTCGCGTTGTAAGATCAGCACTGGATTGCTAGCCACAAGTTCAGCAGTTCACACCCACTAGCTGCTCCTTGGAAATGCTATTGTTGTTGTTAAGTGCCATCGAGTCGGTTCCTACCCATAGAGACCCTAAACAGGTGTAAATCTTTACAGGAGCAGAAAGCCTCCCATGGAACAGCTGGTAGTTTCAAACTGCTGACCTTGCGGTTCGCAGACCGATTCATAACCACTACGCTACCAGAGCTCCTTGGAAACCCTATACAGGGTCACTATAAGTCAGAACCAACTTGATGGCACTTGACAACATCAACAATTAATAATACACAAATAATAAAGCACAAGAAGTCCTGGAAAGGATGCTGGGAAGGGTACATACTGTAACTGTCCTTTGTTCTTAGGTTACTTCAAAAGCAGAGGAAAAAAGCTAACTTTTAGCAACAACATGGTAGTTTCCCTTTGGCACTCTTGGGCTTTCTGGAACTCTCCTTAAAAAACAGACCTGCTCAGACTTTCATTTCATTGCTATTTCCCAAACCTCCTTCTCTGACAGTTAGTACCACCATCATCTAAAGCAGCCTGTAAAGAGGAACTGCTTTCCTCCTACACACTTGCCTCAGCTTGATTTTTCAAAGATGGCATTTTAAATGTGCACTTCTTGTTTATTTGCCTGTGTTATGATGTCTTGAGATGGAAACACGTCTACTTAGTCACTTTATCCACACCACTCTTTTCTTCATTCACTCATCGAACATTTTTCTTCCCACTCTATACCAAAACAGTGTGGCAGATGCAGGGACACAGTGGTGAATGAGGGAGAAATGTCCCTGCCTTGGCCATGGACTTCCCCAAGGCTTACTGTCAAAGTATAGTTGTTGTTGTTGTTATGTGCCATCGAGTCGGTTCCGACCCATAGCGACCCTGTATAGGGTTTCCGAGGGTGTAAATCTTTACGGGAGTAGAAAGCCTCATCTTTCTCCCGCGGAGCAGCTGGTAGTTTCGAACCGCTGACCTTAAGGTTCGCAGCCTGATTCGTAACCACTACGCTACCGTGAAATAGACACTTTGGGGGGGGGGGAGAGGAATAGCCAGAAACATCACCATAGAAAGCTTGTAAATCTGTCTTCAGCCTATAACTGATTGGAATACCTTTAAAGGGGCTAGAAATTGCCCAGTGAAAGAGCCCTCCTGTAGAGCTTTTGCATTGCATAAGACCATAGGTGGAAACCAGAATCTCATCCAGAATTGTCTGAGGTGGGAAATTTCCACTGGAAAGGACAAGTAGACCAGCCTGGAGCAGCTAGAAGAACAGAAGATACTAGTGAAGAAAGACCATCAGAAAAAATCATAAGCAATAATGGCAGTATGATTGATTACTACAAGAACAAGTAAGCTATTCGGAAGCTATCAAGCAAGTGGTCGAAACCTCTTAGAGCAAACTCCCTTCCAAGACTTAAGACTCAAGAGGAATACACAAGCAGGCATGTGGTCTGGCTGGTGACCACGTTGGTCACTGATAAGGGGAAGAGGGGAAAAAACAGCAATGAAGTTGGGATCTAAGCCCGACCACATTCAGTAAACTCCTGTGAACCCCGGGTGGAGACCTGGCTGGCCAGCAGTATGGCATGACCCGGAGACTCCTGGCCCAGAGGCAGTGACATGGCCACAGAGGAATAGAGTGGAGAGTAAAGTGTCCAGCTGATATGAAGTGAGGGGAGATGCACAAGAACACCCATCCTTGCAGATAGTACCCACTTGACCTTTGTTTCGATGACTGCATGTTCAAAACTTGACTAGAAGAAGAAAGAAGAGGGAAGAAAAAAACAAGAGTAACCTGCTACAATTTGATGAACTTTACCTATACATATGGATATAGTAGCTCAAAAAAGGGAACAAATCTTTACAGCAAGGGTCACTTCTACCCCCTTGGTACACAGGTTTGACAGGGATGGTCTACTCAGACACTGGCTACCCAAAATGGGGGAGGAGTATAAAGGCAAGAAGTAACTGACTTACAAGCTTTTAAGAGGGAGACTAGTTCCAGACAGGATAGGGGTAAGTAGAACCTCCACTGAATGATTTCCAATCCGTTGAGACAGGGCTGGCGAAAGGAAATGAGGATAAGACTCTTGTGGTACAATAGTGAATAATTGCCATCAGAACTGACTGTGAGGGTCAGAAATGTAGAGGTAGATGTTTTTTGACCAAAGGAAGGGAATGATTGATTTTGCAGCCCAGGAGTGGAGGTCTGGGCTATCAAGTGAGAAGAACAGAGAGCGTGACCCTAC